ATGTGATGGAAAACAAGTTTGAAGGCGTCCAAGCGCTTTAGAGGCGTCCAAGTACTTTTTCTAAAGGCGTCCAAGTTTTCGTAGAGGCGTCCAAGTTTGAAGACATTATATGGCATACATTTTGTAAAGTTGACAAAAAGTACCTTTGTAAAGCTTGATGTTAACCACTTTTGTAAAGCTTCCTACTGATGTGTATTTTAATGGATTTCTAATATTTTTGTAAAATCTCTTATCAATGTAAAACATTGGACCTTATGGATGGTTATTGAGTGTGCACCGTAAAGTGCCCTTGAAAATTCACTAAATTTAAGTACAGCAATTTAATTTAGTATCTTTACATATTTTGATGGAAGTCACAAATGCTTGACATGGATTTTTGTGTAAATTTAGTGTCTATTATGTAGGATGTTAGAGTTACATTGAAAAAGAATAATTTATTAGTGGATTAAAGGAGGAGGATGTTATAGTATTGTTGCCTCTTAATTTTTATATACTTGACTTTAGTCCCCCCTCCCCCCTCCCTCGCAATTTGATCATGGTTATGAATTTTATGTTTCTTGATTAAGAAAGACCAGCGTATTTTAATGCACTATTTTCATGGTTTGTTTTTGAATTCATTTCTCTTCTCAGGACCTCTGACATTCCAACACAGCTGGTTGTGAAAGTAGCTTCGATTTGTTATACCATCCATGATATTCTGGTATCAACGATAAGGTTAGTCTTTAAAGCAACTTGGGTTAGTTTTATTTCATTTATTTATAAGTAGTTAGGAGGATTTGAACTATTTCTATTGATATTTGATGTTTTAGTAGACTGATTTGAACTATTCCTTAAACATGGATGATTTTGAAAATATGTTAGAAAATGAGGTGGGAACTCTTGAAGGCACCACCCCAATTATGTGAATGAGGTGGGAAGCTTACATTCATGATAAATTCATTAGGAAATAAAAGATTTGAAATAAAAGATTTTCTTTATATATTTTGTTCCTCTTTTTCTATGTGAAGTTTTAAATTAGAGTGATATTATCATTTTGAATTGATTTATTACCATTGAGTTTCGTAACACGTGATAACAAAAAAATTATTGGCAGTGCCTTCAGGCATGGGTTATATATAATATCTGTACGGGGAGCAAATATTCCGGCAAGCCCGTACTCCTTTCTTCCGAGCTCCGTCGATGTCCGGTCACCTGCGAGCAAGTAACGGTGAGCTACCCGGCGGTGTGTGGCCGGAAAAACCCTCCGACGATCAAGTTAGCACACACCTTAGGATGGATAGAGAGAAGGGAGAGAGTGTTTGAGTGTAAAAATTCCTTACAGAGATGTTCGTGTATCGCGTATGGGGGGCGCAGACATGCCTATATACCTTCTGAGCCCCTTACCCACTCCCAGTCATCTCCTGACACGTGGCTCTGCTATCCCATCTGTCAGCATAGACCTTGCTGAACATCACCTAATCCCAACTGCCTGACTTCACAGCTGGAGCTCGGCAGCCGAGCTGCTCTACCACTGCTATGCCATGCTTCATACCCATGCACCTAACCGGACAAACACATGGAGGACCGGGCTAGGCGGCATCCCGGCAAAGCCTAGCCCGGGTACCTCCTTTGGTCGGCCTTCCTGCCGGTCAATCAACTACCTCGACTGACCACGCCTTTCCGGGCGCCGGTCACTCGGTCTGTCTGGCTTCGACCATCCTCGGACCGAGCATCCTGGTCCGACCGGTCACTTCCTGGCCGAGCAGTTTCTGTTCGATCCGGGGTGGCACACACTCAGTCCAAACTCTGCCCGGTCCAAATCTGTCCGGCACAACTCTGTCACCATATTAGCACCATCGCTTTAGAGAAAAACCATCGCTGCTAGCTCCAGATCATGTGTCGAATAATTCCTTTCATGCTGTTTCAGTTGCGTGGAGCCGTAAGCCGCCATCTTTCCATTTTGCATTAACACATAGCCCAGCTCATCTTTAGATGCATTGCAATACATTGTATATCCTTCGTCTCACTCTGAAATAATAAGTATTGGGCACTAGTCGATCTCCTCTTGAGTTCTTAAAGAGATCATTTACATGCTTCATCTTAATCATATTTTACCGCTTTTTGCATTAGACGAGTCATCGGCTTGGCCAGTTTTAAAAAAAATCTTGAATAAACTATCAGTAATAACCGGCCAACCCTAAGAAACTACAAACTTCGAATACTGAGGTTGGCTGCTTCCAATCTAATACTACTTCTACCTTGGTTGGGTCCACTACAATCCCATGCTCAGACACTACATGTCCCAAAAATTAACTTCCTTTAACTAGAACACTCAGCAAGTTAATTATGCCACCACATTGTTGTGCTCAGACACTCCTCTCTATCCCCCTTAAATTGGAAACACCTCCCATCAGGTGTGTAAGCCGTCACCCTCTTCTAGTAGCAATCAATCACCATTCAGTGGGCAGATAGCCAATCCATACCTAAGATTATATCAAAATCGAACATGCCCATGACCACAAGGTCGCAAATCAAGTGTAAACCTGACACTTCCTCCCAAACGTGATGCGATACTTAAAGTAGTTTTTAAAGGTTCACATGTAAGACCTAACGATTTAACACATGATGTTTTTATTAAAAAAAAATGGTGCGCCATAATCGAATAGAGCGTGAACCCAAGAATTATAGAGTACAATGTTACCTCTAATTACTAACGGGGTTTTGTCCTCTTTCTCTGATCATAGGATCTAGCCCCCATTTGAACTTTCTTGCATTTTCCCTCTCAATTGGCCTAATTGTTCCAGAATTTGGTTTCCAATGTAGCTCAAGATTTCAGCCGCGAGTATTGGTTCATTCTTAGGGTTTCAATTACATGATACTTCATTCTTATTGCGTTATTGCTCGCAAGCTCGTGTGTTATCGCTTGTCTCGGTGTAGCCGTTGGCTCGAGTGTAGTTCCCTATTTATTTTTATTTTTCCTGTTTGTAGTACGAGGTGAGGCATAAGTTGGAGTCTAATTATGGAGACAATTCTCAAGGGTAATAGGCTTGCTTCTCCACCTTCGATCCAACAAATTGGTAATCTGCTGGGTCGACCGTACAGTGCTTTGAATGGAGCCATGCCAATGCTGGCCTAGAAACTGTTATTGTACGTGAACTCCACCAATGGTAGGTGTCGCCCCCAACTCCCTTTGAAATCCATCACACAAGCTCTCAACATGTCCTCCAAAGTTTGAATGGTGCGCTTAGACTGTCCATCAATTTAAGGATGAAAGGCGGTACTAAAGCATAATTCGGTCCCTAACGCTTCTTGTAAGCTTCCCCAGAATCGGGAGGTGAAACGCGGGTCCCGATCTGACACAATTGATACAGGAATTCCTTGTAATCGAACAATTTCTTTAATGTAGAGATAATTCAGCGATGTCAAAGTGTCTGAGAGTTTATATGGAAAAAAGTGTGCAGTTTTCATCAAACGATCAACTATAACTCATATAGCATTATGTCCTCTAGGTGACCTGGGTAGTCCAGTGACAAAGTCCATTGTTACATGCTCCCATTTCCATTCTGATATCGGCAAGGGCTGAAGCATCCCTCTAGGTCGTTGGTGTTCTGCCTTTACTTGTGGACATGTAAGGCATCTGGCTACGAATTGAGCCACATCTTTCTTTATTCCATTCCACCAGTATTGGCGTTTTAAGTCTTGGTACATTTTTGTCCCTCCTGGGTGCACTGCGAACACTGAATGATGGAACTCTTTCAGGAGTTTTTCTCTAAGCTACTCATCTTATGGTACAAACACTCTGCCCTGATGTCTCAAACTTCCATCTGAGTGAACCATCTAATCAGGTATAAGATCACCGGATGCTATTCGCGCTTTCATACTTCTGTGACTCTATTACCTCATTCAGTAATTTGGGTGTAGCGATTTGAGCGCAAAGGTATACCTTCTCATCCTGAGCTTTCATCTGTACTCTGAACTCATTAAGTGTTCCGACCATGTTCCATTCCTTGAGTGCCAAACTAGCAATAATTCCCCGGTTCTTGCGACTCGAGGCATCCGCCACCACGTTAGCTTTGCCAGGATTGTACGATAGAGTAAAATGGTAATCTTCAAGATATTCTAGCCACTGTCTTTGTCTCATGTTCAAGTCCTTCTGCGTGAACAAATACTTCAAGCTCTTATGGTCCGTGAAAATCTCAAATTGTTCACCATACAAATAATGACACCATTGCTTTAACGCAAAAACCATTGCTGCCAACTTTAGATCGTGTGTCGGATAATTCCTTTCATGCGGTTTCAGTTGCTACAGTAGTTGTCAGAGTAACTGCACCAAAGTTTCTAGGGTTTATAGGTAAAGTGCTGGAGTTGTTAGTAAAAAAAAATATCCGTATATGAAACCACCAATATGCCTCCAATATAATGTTGTATTACACTGCAAACCAATGACAATCAACAAAATATGAGGGGGGGACGAAAATGCCTCATGAGGAAAGAATGACAAAACCGTGGATAAAGAGTGAAAGAATGACAACGGCGTGTAGTGTGTAAGTGTAAGAATTCAAGTGCGGTGAATCACTTGATGCAGGCGGCGGTACATCAGGACTCGGAAGAGGTGAACCATTTGTAGAACTTGATGTGGCTTGTGGCTCTACAGTAGTTGTCAGAGTAACTGCACCAAAGTTTCTAGGGTTTATAGGTAAAGTGCTGGAGTTGTTAGTAGGGGTGTGTGCGGTGTGGTCTGAACGGTTTGAACGTAAAATTACAAAGCGAATGGTGGATTGGCGGATTAGCGAATTAGCAAATCACGGTTTGGGCAGTTTTGAGCAGATTGGCAGATTGAAGAATATTCTAACCAATTATCAAATATTTGCATAATATATAACACTAATTTGCATGATATTATTTTTATATATATAACACAAATTAATTTTACATAATATGTTTTATATATATAATTATTAATTTGTAACAAACTTTACATCTTAAATTTCTCTCACACTCATTTTTATTTTGATATTTCATTGGAGGTTAAAAAGATATATGTATTAACTATAGCGGAATGGAACGGTTTGAAAGGCAAATTATAAATTTTAAAGTTCAATCTGCGGTTGGCGGATAGAGCGGTGCGGATTGATGCGGATCGGTGCGGTTTTAGTAGATTGGGAGTATTTTGCACAACCCTAGTTGTTAGCATCATAACCTGGGAAAAACAAATTATCGTCATGTGAAAGCACTAAACATCATTTCAATATGGGCAAATTACAAACACCCCCCTCGAGGTTTGGTGAAAATACAGATTCCTCCATGAGATTTAAGAAATTACATCACGCCCCCTGAGGTTTATATTTCCATAACAAATTGCCCCTTGAGGTTTTTATTTTCATACAGATTCCCCCTTAATTTCTCCTAATTTGTTATGAAAATTTGACCCTCATGGGACAATTTGTAATTTCTCAAACCTCAGAGGGGAATCTGAATTTTTACCAAATCTCGAGAGAGGGGTTTGTAATTTGCCCTTTCAATATACAATCAAGATTTGGAGAGATGTACTCACAATTGGATGACTCCCAGCCCAGAACCATCCTTTCGCGATCAAAGATGATACGGTATCCGGTCATGAAGTTTTCTGGGGAAGGATTGATGATTAACTTCTTTAGGAACATTTTCTCAATGCAAAAGTAAAATCCATCCAAAAAATAGTTTGAAAAACCGTAATCAAGTGAAGGATATTATCCATTTTGAGTTAATGGCTTGTTCATTGGGCAGGTATTTAAATTAGAGTCCTGCATTTGTTCTATCCCCATTCCATTTCAAATTGGGATACAGTTCAAAGATAATAAAAATAACACTAATTTATGAAGTTTAAAGAAAGAAAGATTAACATGTATAAATCTACATTGTTTTTCCTTTTTATCATTATGTAAGTCTTTTTTTTACTTCCAAACTTTATAAGTGATGGATATCGGACATGTGTGTCCCTCAAGTGTCTGAACCATGTCTAGGACTAAAGTTTTTGTTAAAACAATAGGATATGTTTGCACATAGGTCTAACAATGTCGGCAAGTGTCCCATGAGTATCAGTGTAACATGTCAAAGACAGACATGCCACCTTAGAAATGTCCTTACTTCTTAGATGGTCTACTATGCAAAATTTCAAAACCAGTTCAAAATTCTAAATTAAATGAATCTGGTTTCCATCACTTCTTCACTTTTCATCCTTGGATGTTATATATATATATATATATACATATCATCATGGTTTTAAATATTGCCTATACAATTAGGTATCGGCCATTATGCAAAGGTATTTAGAGCCTCTGTATGGATACGCGTAGTTGTATCGTTGGGAAAAAAAATCACAGCCGTATTGGCTGATACAGCCGATACTATTTGTATTAGTCTATATAATAGTCCATTACAGTCAATATTTTAACCGATACAGCTGACACAAACTTTATTTCCACTAATTCGGCTAACATAGCCTCTTTAGGCATATAACATGAGATGAATCGATTGCATAGAACTGACTTTAGTTTTCTTTTGTATACGTAATATGTCTCTGTACAAAGGTTCCCAGCTCCACATTTTTGGGATCATTCAAATAAAATTTTACCTAGCCAAAAAAATGATATCTCACTTAAATAAAAGAACTAGAACCTTCTGTAAAAGACTTTCCATTATCTTAAATGGTCATAGAATTTCTATCAATGAAGTAAATATCTTCTTGCAAGTGAAAATGATGCTGAAATATTTTGGACCCACATCTCATTTATGCAATAACAAGAACACCCAAAACCACGGCAAGAAAACAAAAATGCTCAAAGGAGTGAAACATGCTGAAGCAATAGGTACTTGAACCAATTTGTCAATAAGAATGCAACTAGAAGCAAATTTCCAACGAGGCAATAACATATGAGAATGGAATTACATACATGTTTTTGGGAATATGCAATGTAATATGTAACAAGATACTTACGCCCAATGATATTTATATCCCCACTTTTGACAACAGCTAAGCAATATATGTATCCTTGACCCTGAGAATCATAAGAATGTATTTCAGTATATTTCAAGACGCAAGACTACGATAATAAACCACAAAAGGTTCGACTCCCTACTTCGCCCAACATATATTTGGGATTTTACCCCTGGTCTCACCGAAGATGGGGTCAAGGGGTTCCTTGTTATCCAAAAAATATATATGCATATATGATATATATATATATAATTTGAAAGTCTTAACTATTTTCTAGAAGAAAAGTGAAACATTACCTGCATATCAATTATTTCTATTGGATTAATCACGGGGAATTGTTTTCCACCTTTCATGGTTAAATTCAATGATGCAGTCTCAAAGGTTGTCTGATTTGCACTGCATGTGAAAAAAAGTCACTCCTCAGGGTCTCAAAAGAAGTTTACAAGAACAAAGGTCACTATTAAGTCTCCAGGTCGAAACTGACCTTAAATCATAGCAATATTCAAAAGGGATCTGGGAATCAGGTGGATGCCGTTTCTCTTTGGCCTGGGAATTGAACTGCATGATAGCACAACTTATTAATTCTTACTAAGTAAACAATTAATCTATATATAATATAAAGAGTTCATTATTCAAACTACTTACACCCTCGGTGATAACTGAATAAGCTGGGTCGTTTAAGTATGTGAATGAGGTACCAGAGTCAAAGATTGCAGTGAAACTAAGATCAGTGACATTCTTGTCCACGGTAATTTGTGTTATGCTAATGTTATAAGTTGGACTGGCAAGAAGTTCCAAGAAAAATCAGAAAATCAGTACATGCACGTGATTTTGGTCAAAGATAAACAAAACAGTACAGACGCAAAGCTTGGGAGCTTGTCAGCAGGTTTTGCAAATATAGAATTGATAACATACTGTGATTGACCAAGATTGAATGGTGTTTCTCCTTGTTCTGAGCTGCCTTTATCTCCAAAACTAATTCTCCCAATTCCATCAGGTCCAAAACACATAGAAAAGGAATTTGCAGCAAGCCCTTGATTAGCTAAAATGCTAGGAACAGATATATTATTCATACCAAGCCCAAATAGACCGTTAGGAGCTGCACCATCCAAAAATGAACCAGTTTGAACCATGCCACAGCTGCAAGGAAAGTGACATAGAGATCATAAGGGCTGATGAAAACATAATTTGCTAGATCAACATCCATCTACCGTGGTAAGAACAAGAAGAAACACTGAAGACACATAAAATTGGAACAAGCCCCATCAATTAGGGTAAAAAAAAATCAAGTAAATTCACCGATGGAAATTGTAGGAAAATTAATATAATTGATGATCTCTCGGGTGCCAAAAACATCATTGATCTCCCCGGAAAATTTGCCTCCACAAACAAAATTAGTCATGTTAAAGAAAAATATAGATTTACCTGAATGATGATATGAAAATCAATGACAATAATGGCAATATCATATTAATCAGTACAGATGTTGACAATTTCGACAATCATTGATTCATTGATATTGACATAAACCACACAGAATTTATCCTAGAAGTATATGACAACAAAGTAATACAAGATATTACCTACCCAAATGTAATTTGTGCATCAACAGCTTTTAATTGACTGTCATCTGTAGTTAAGTGCAAAACATCCTCTACCAAGAGCCCAGAAGATGAAGTATTATTAGAAAGATATTCAACTTGATAAGCACATGTATTGCTTGTTGATGAGCATTTTCCACAAAAGGTACTGTTGCAGGAAACTTTTGTGCTTGTCGTTGAATTACTAGGGCTGTAAATATTAAAGTCAATTACCTGTTCACAAAGAGGTTACCCAGGTAATCGTCCAGTTAGCAATATCAATGTATAAATAAACAAATATCCTTACATTGTTTTTTTCCCTTGTTTCAGTGATCAATAAATCCAAACAGCGATGATTTATTAGTTGCCAAAGGCATGCTTTGCTTAAAGCTCATTTAGTATCAAAAGTTTACAAGTAAACACAATAATCGGCTATTATCCTCATGAAAACTTTACAAGTGATCAACAAAAGAAGACATGTGAACAAGAGTAGTCGCATTCTAATAGACTGAAGAAATCTTTCAATCAACTGAAACTAGGTTTCTGAAATGAGAGTGCACGCCAATAATCTCAGTAGCAATTAGGTATAATATGGAACTTAATATCAAATTCAGGGCAATTTGACACTCAGTAGCAATGGGGACCAAAGGTCGAGATATGGAACTAAATTAGAAAAGATTCTCAGAATGGAATGATGATAATGACTGTGCCTATAGCTATACACACCAAATTAATGGTTGAGCAAAAATGGAAATGAGAACCTTGGACATTCTCAACAGTAAAATTTTATACTGATATTTTTGTGATGACCTCCACATCCTTCAACTGCTCAAACTAATTGAATCACATAAACTTTATAATATTGGCTAGCTTTCAAAACAATTTTGCATCAATTTTGGTGTCTAATCTTTTGGACAACCATTCCCATGCAAGACAGTTGTGTTAAGTAGAGAGCAAAGAAACCTCAGAATCTAGCAAGTTTCCGTCAACTACAATGGTGTTAAGGCCTTCAAAATTGAAGAGGTAACTTTCTGTACTCATCATTTCTTCTAAAACTTCCTTGGCATTTCACCTAATATTCAAAGTTTGCAAGAATCCTACTTGACCACACATGATGGAACTGATCTACATAATTGTTTTGTTTGTGGAATAGTCTATTTTTCAAATCAATCAGCCTGGTTGTACTGAACATTTAGCCCACACGATCCTCAATAAAGTCAACCTACACCTAAAATAAAATAAAGTTTCTGCAGAAGGGAAGGGGAGTGGAGTCTGTGAGCATGGCAACAAGACAGCAAAATCAAACTTTGTCGAGTATATAAATAAAATCTTGTTCCCCTGCCTATTTGCAGACCACATTAATAAAAGAGTAAAGCAGAGAAATGCAAAAAACTATATAATAAATCCTGTTATGGTGCAAAAAACATATCATTATCATGTGAAAAGAAAGGACTATGCAATGGAAGCAACCCAAAATTCAAAGAATGAAACAACGTACTTGTCCAGATGTTGACTTCAAGCCACGTACGCATTGGGTGCAATCACATGGTAACCAAAACAGGTCGCTTCCGGTGTCAAGTGCCACAAGAAACGATAAGCTCGGTGATGCCACAGAAACATTCGCATAAAACAAACTGAAATTCCCAAAAAGATACAGAAAAGCTAGTTATTATAGATAATTAGAAAAAGGAGTTCTAAACCTTGAATGTCCCCAATTCAATACCACAACAACTACCAAACACTCCCTCATAAACCTATTAGCAACAACTAGTTACTGATTATTTATTTATTTATTTATTTTTGGTTTTATAAAAGACCTAAAAGAAAATAATATCTCCACTCCACCGTGTGCAAAGCAAAATTTTAGTTTATTTGCATATAGATAGCATAGCATATATAATCCTCTCACATACTATGCATAAAAAAACATCTAGATTTAATTTCCATTTACTTGAGACCAAGAGTTTGGATGAGATGAGGCACCCCCTCACGTACTAAATGCGGTGTTTGGATTCGAATCTCATCGCTGCACTATACAATTTCCCTTATTATAATTATAGGGCTTGTTTGGTTTGTATTTGATAAATATGTTTTGAGATAAAAAGTACGAAAATTTGTTTTGTTTGGTTTTTTTTCAAAAGATATTTTGAAAAATTATTTTGAGAGAGAGTTTTGAAAAAAGTGATTGATTTGATGTGTACGAGAGAGAGATTTGTTTGGAAAACTTGCAAACCAAACAAGTTTTGAAAAAAAAAATTGGAAAAATTTGTTTGGTTTGATTACTTTTGAAAACTTATTTGTAGAGAATGTTTTTCAAAATTTTTTGAGAAACACAAACCAAACAAAGCCATAGTCTTCGATTTTCGAACAAATTGATCCTTGGATTCATAAATATTTTAAAAAATGATATTTGTCACATGAATTTGAAGCGTATATTATATCCAACCAAGCAATAATACTATCATTTTCTTATAAATTTTAGTATTTTATTTTTCCTAGATATACACAAAGCACTAACACTATGTTTGGGAACTTAGGAGAAAAAATAAAAGAAATGATTAGTTAAGTTATAAGAGAAAAGAAAAGATTATGATTTCTCTCCCTTTTTTTTGGATAATGAGGAAATAAAAGAAAAAAAATGATTGTAATTTCTCTTATTCTTGTTTGGTTAGATTTCATTAAGAGAAAATAAAAGAAATTATTTTATGTTATATTATCAAAATAATCTTTTTATATTTTCAATCATTTTATTTCTTTTATTTTTATAGGGACAAAATTAATATTATAAAAATAGCGATTTCTCTTATCTCTCAATTTCTCCACTTGATTCATAAATATTTTAAAAAATGATATTTGTCACATGAATTTGAAGCGTATATTATATCCAACCAAGCAATAATACTATCATTTTCTTATAAATTTTAGTATTTTATTTTTCCTAGATATACACAAAGCACTAACACTATGTTTGGGAACTTAGGAGAGAAAATAAAAGAAATGATTAGTTAAGTTATAAGAGAAAAGAAAAGATTATGATTTCTCTCCCTTTTTTTTGGATAATGAGGAAATAAAAGAAAAAAAATATTGTAATTTTTCTCATTCTTGTTTGGTTAGATTTCATTAGGAGAAAATAAAAGAAATTATTTTATGTTATATTACCAAAATAATCTTTTTATATTTTCAATCATTTTATTTCTTTTATTTTTATAGGGACAAAATTAATATTATAAAAATAGGAATTTCTCTTCTCTCTCAATTTCTCCACTTTTGAAGATTAAAAATGAGGCTTATAAGATAAATGACTTTCTATCCATTTCTTCCTATTTCTCTCCGCTTATCACTCCAAATCACTCGATCCAAACATAAGCAAAAATAATAATTAAGTAGATAAAATTAAGCGAAGTGAAAGAGAAAAGAAGAGTCGTACTGTCCGAGAGCATTGAGTTGGTAAGTATCGTTGCCGGCGAGGAAAGTAAGAGGAGCAGAAGTGGCGGCGGCGAGCTTGCGGCCGTGAAAGAGGAGATCACGGTGGGCCATGGCGGCGTAGTAATCGAGGCTGCCTTTCTCCGGCAAACCACGGAGGTCGAGAATTCCCTTGACTGGATCGGAGTACCTGTGGTGTATATTGAACCCGAACGTACCGAATCCATCGCAGCTCTGCGATCCCCACACCACCATCATCATTAACACCACATAATAGTAGTAGTAATAGTACCCCATAGATGAAGCACAATTACTAAAACAAGCAATTTCAGATTTACACAAGTTTCCACAGAATCAATCACAACTCTTCAAAAGGTTTTAGAGAGAGAGAGAGAGAGATTTGAGATTGAACCTGACTGGTGTTTGAATAGGAGCCTGCTTCTTCAACTTCTTCTATGGAGGGGAGAGAGGGGGCAAAAGTCGTCTGTCTCTGGGAAAACGAAAGCTAGGCTTGTTCCAGGTCCGGACGTGGGGTCCACTTTTTTTTTTTTTTTTTGGGAAATAAAAAGTCGAAATTGGAGGGCGACTGGGATTTTGTTTGGGTGTGATCCAGTCTACGGAAGGTGGAAGTTTCAGAACGCATCTGGGCCATAGATTGCTGGCTATGTGGCAATCGATGGTGACGCCTGCAGTTGGGAGGGCGAGGACATATGTCCATGTTTGTTTGGTTCCATTTATAGGCCCTGTTTGGTACAGCTTAATTTCAGCTTATTTCAGCTTTCAGCTTAATTTAAACTATTTTGATGTGTTTGGTTTAACTTAACAATACAGCTTATAACTTTTTGTAAGTTAGAAATTAACTTATTCTTTGAGTGGGAGAGGAAAAGCTTAATTTATAAGTCAGAAATCAGCTTATGTTCATAGTTATAAGCTATAAGCTGTTAAGGTATAAGTTATAAGTACTTTCTCACAGCTCTACCAAACAGGGCTATAGTGTTTAATTGAAGACATAGAGGGGTTTGGTCTCACTATTTAATTTGTCTTTTAAAAAAATAAGAATTATATAAGTACTTTCAAAATTTTTTAATATTTTAAAATTTGTTTCTTTTATTATATTACTCTCATATCTATCAGCTCTCCTATTAAGCCATCTTCACTATATATTTCAGAGTAAAATTTTACTCTGAATAAGAATAAAATGTTACACTCTGAAATTAAAAGTAAAATTTTACTCTGTATAAAAGTAAAATTTTACTCTGAAAAATTAGTAAAATATTATACTCTACACAAAAGTAAAATTTTACTCTGTATAAAAATAAAATTTTACTTTGAAAAACAAGTAAACTGTAAGACTCTGAAGCTAAAAGTAAAATTTTACTCTGTATAAAAGTAAAATTTTATTCTGAAAAACTAGTAAAATGTTAGACTCTACACAAAAGTAAAATTTTACTTTGAAAAATGAGTAAACTGTGAAACTCTGAAGCTAAAATTAAAATGTTACTCTGCACAAAAGTAAAAAAACGAATGCAGTGTTTGTGGTGGCTGAAGTGTTTGGCAATGACCACCTCTTGATAGTAAAATTTTATTGTCATTCTAACACCAGAGTAAAATTTTACTCTAATTTTCTCAAACAAAAAATAGAGCAATAGAACAAGAGTAAAATTTTACTCTCATTATCTGAAACAAAAAACAGAGCAATAGAACCAGAGTAAAATTTTATTCTGATTCTGTCAAATGAAATTAGATCAAAAACAACAAAAATAAATCCCAAAAAAAAACAAACAAAAGCAAAACAAATTAATTAACAAATCAACATATCTAATTGAGAAGAAAAACTTTTAAAACTCGATCAACAATCACAAATCTCAATGAAAAAAATACATGTGTTCAACAACACTCATACACACAAATCTGTGTTTAAAAAAATATGTATAACCAAACAACTCCACCAGCACTCTTCTCCACGTAGTCGTCATTGTTGATCACGCGTCGTTGCTGAATGATGTTGGAGAAATCAACGGAAAGATCGGAGTAGAGAGATATGACTTTGGATATATTACTGTTGATTTCTCGAATTAAGGCAACATTCTTGACGAGATTGTCAGACATCTTCGACTGGTGATTGTCGTTAACCTGTTGAATCAAAGCTCGATTCCAAAGGGAGCGGTGGAAGAGGATTGGACGCCGGCGGCGTCGGCGAGGTCTGAAGCTTCCAAATCTGAAGCTTGAAGGAGTTAGAAAATGGAGAGAGGGAGGAGAAAGATAGAGAAGGTGGGGAGAGAGTGGGTGGAGAAGGTGGGAAAATTTAGTTGAGGGTATAATAGTCTAATAAAATATTTAAATAATAAATTTTGTCCTTTATGCAAGATTTTATAATTATGAGGGGGTTTAAAAAGTATAATTTTTTTTCTTAATCCTTTTAATAATGAAAGGAAGGTAAAGAGGGTTTATAGCCAAATTTCTCGAAGCATAAGTAAAAGGATTAATTGTCTTTTTAGATTAGTAATTCCTCCATTGATAAGATTACCAATACTACGAAGGAGTTGGGATTAAAAATTGAGTGAGGAGATTAATAATTTTTTAAATAATTTTTAAGTAAAATTTATATTTTTTAGAAAAAAAAATTACAATATTAAAAAATACTAAAAATTATAAAATATTAATTTTATATATTAATATTATTTATAATATTACTAATTCGGTGGTATCCAAACAAATACTATCTATATATTATTTATAATATTACTAATCTGATGGTGTATAAAATAAATGCTCTTTATATTATCTATCTCCAACCTAATACCACTATAATAATAATCTACTCACTTAATTTACCGTACACTTAATACCCTCCATCTTATGACACCAAACAAACTTAGGCCTATCAATTTCAAGTAAGGGTGGACAAGGTGGATTGGGTTTGCACTATATATGTTATTGGGCAAATTACACAAATAGTCCCTAATTTGGGACTCGTGGCACTTTGGTCCCTGACTTTTTAATTGTGACACATTTGACTATGAATTTTGAATCTTATTCCAAATAAAGACAATTGAAGATACCATTGTTTAATTTTAAGGACAAAATTGTCGATTTAATAAAATATAAACTAATTTGACAAAAATAAATGTCAAAAAAATATTTTTAATTTTTTTAAAATTATTTTTATCCACCAATAATAAAATTATGTAAAATTGATAAAAAATAATAAAAATTACATGATTAATTATTTAAAATTAATTTTACATGATCATCATCCAAACACATAATAAAAAATAATTTCGTAAAAAAAATAAATAAATGTCTAAAAGATTTATCAATTTTACATAATTTTATTTTTAGTGGGTAGAAATAATTTTTAAAAATTCAAAAATATTTGTTTGACATTTATTTTTGTCAAATTAGTTTATATTTTATCAAATTGATAATTTTACCCTTGAAAAATCTAATAGTATCTTTAATTGTCCTTATTTAAAATAAGATTCAAATTTCATGGTCAAATGTGTCATAATTGAAAAATCAATAATCAAAGTAAAACAAACTCCAAACTATAGGGACTATTAATATAATTCACTCTATGTTATTTTAAACTTGATTCTGCCTGATATGGAATCTAATTTTGTTATTATCTCAAGTTTGATCTTAAAACTTTCTAAAATCTGTTTACTTAACTTAATAGATGTGAACTCTTAATTTTTTATTTTTTTATTTTTTCTTGAATATATATTAAATTATTTAAATCATTTTATTTATTATTTGAATTTAAAAGGTTAACAAAATTCAATGGTAATGTTTAAATTTATGCCCTAAATATATATATATATATAATCTTTTTATTTTTTATTTTATTTTATAAATAAGTGAGTCAAGACTGAACTGAATTATAATTTTTTATTCCAAATTTAACTAGAATATTAAGCAAAACCTCAACACAATCCAAAACAAAATAAAATTTTCAAACCTGAAGAATATCAGACCGAATTAAGCGCGATGGGCGGACCATCTTGTCAATTGCCACCTCTAATTTCAGGTGGGAACACATTTTAGGATTTAAAAATCAATCACAATCATATTTTACTAACGTGTGGGGCAAAAAAAAAAGGTGCGGTCATGTAAGTGGGACAAGTACCCATTAGTCAATTACGTGGGAAAGCTAAAAAAATCAATGCCATTACTTGAAAAAATGTCAATTAAAATTTTTAAACATAAATTGCACAGTCTCTTTTAAAACTTTCAAAATATCGTAAGAAATTGCATAAGTTTGACTTATACTGTAATCTTTTAAAATTTTAATCCATAAAATACTTTATTTCTTATTATGAATTATTTGTTGATCATTATTCGTTGGTCAATTTGTTGGTTTATTTAAGCCATTTTAATCCACAAAATACTTTATTTCTTATTATGAATTATTTGTTGGTCAATTTATTGACTTATTTGAGTCATATCATGTTTTTATTTTTTATACTTTTTTTCATAATAAGTAAAAAAATTAATTTTTTTAGCACTTTCCAAAACAATTCGAAAAATAAAATAGTATGAAAATTGAAATGGCTCTGGAATATAGAATGAATTACGAATAATCATTTTCAATCTAATATATTTGGTGAAATACATGAATCAATCCGGAAAATATTGACAATGTTACGAATTTTGCGTTTTTAAAAAGGAAAATGCGGGGGGACCCCAGTAAGGGGCGACCCCCAGCCCACGTGGCTGTGGGTGATTGGCCGGAAACGAAAAAAAAAAAAGAAAAAAAGAAAACTGGCGAATGGTGTTGCGCCACGTCACTGGGGGTTGACCCCCAGTGGGGGTCTTTAATTTTTTTAGCACTTTCCAAAACAAATTCTAAAAATAAAATAGTATGAAAATTGAAATGGCTCTGGAATATAGAATGAATTACGAATAATCATTTTCAATCTAATATATTTGGTGAAATACATGAATCAATCCGGAAAATATTGACAATGTTTCGAATTTTGCGTTTTTAAAAAAAATAAAACTTATTTATAAAATCAAAATTGTTATGAAAACTTTTCGGTCTCAACAAAAAAAAAAAAAAAATGGAGAGAGAAATGGAATTGGTTATTCTTTAGACTCAATAGAATGGTTATTGATGATTCTATCTGAAATGCAAATTTGCTCACTTTTAATGAATTAAACAATAGAATGAAAAATAAATTCCACAAAAAAATAAATAAATAAATAACAAATTAACCACTAATGGATAAATTACATTATTTTTTCCTATACTTTAGCCTTTGTGTCAATTTAGTTCTTATAATTTCAATTGGATTAATTTTGACCCTAAATTTTCTATTTTGTCTCAAATTGGTCTACTTGTTTCTAATTGTTAGTTTTTTTTTTTTTTACATGGTAAATGTATACATGAGCGGCATGTATCATACTTTTAGGAGCAAAATTGTAAACTCAATCAATTTAATGACTTAACCTCAATCAATTCAATGATTTTTTTTGTCAAACATCCTATCGGCATTATCAATTAGATTAAATTGATGCAAAATCTAAATTAAAAGTCAATATAAGACCAATTAAAACTGTAAAACCTAAAATAACACAAACAATAAAATGTATAAACTACCAATATAATTTTTCTGAACTTTAATTTTCTTGCTAGACAATGGTGCACTTCGAGAAGAAATGTATTTATAATTTGACCATGAAAGGTGTCGACACTGCGCATGCAAGCTTCTCGTGTTATACTATTCCTTAATTTTTTTTTATAATATATCTATTTAAAGGTCAAAGATAATGAAATATTTTAAATTAGCTATCAACTTTTTTAATCACCTTGAATAGAGTAAATAGATTATTTAGTCACTTGATTTTAATTTAATTTCTACAAAGATGTTGTTACTTAGACTAAATTGACAAAATATAAAAATTTTAAGAATAAAATTAAATATTATTAGAATTACAATGATCAAATTAACCCATAAGACATATAGAAATTATGGGTGTAATTTTCCAATTAGTTTTAAGTAGGTAACAATGTGAGAAAAGGAAAAAGGCCCCAAAAAATCATTCCTAATTTTATCTGTAATGACATAACAAGTTAATAGGTAATTTTTTATTTTTGAGGAATTTAACAATGAAGACTCAACTACTATAGGTAAGGCTTTTTGCCTAATGGTTATATAAGTGCATCTCCAATGGTTATTGCTATATTGGAGTTGCTATTGCTATAATTTAGCAATTAAGAGTGTTATTTTGCCAAATTATAGTAATGGTGCTCCAATGGTCATTTGCTATTTTTGACAAATCTCAACCAACTTTTCCTCCAAGTTTGTAGGTGTTGTTTGGATATAGGTTTTTTGTGATTTTATTTTTATTTATTTTTTGTCTTTTGTGACATTTTTTTACCTGTTTGTTAAAAAAATTATATATTTATATTATTCTCATCTAGACAAATATAAAAAATTACAAAAAATGAAAAATTGGAAAAATATATATATATATATATATTATTAATTCACCCCACCAAAAAATATATCACTACATATTTAATAAATTTTTTTAACTACACATAAAAAATAATTTTTCACCAATTACCCACCAACAATCAACCACCAACAATCATCCATTATTAACCCAGTATTCATTCACTCACATCCACCGACCCAACAACCATCAATTATTCATCCACCCACCCAACAACCACCCATTATTCATCCACCCACCCAACAACCATCCATCATTCACCCACCCACAATTTTCTCTATAAATATAACATAAAATTTTCTACAATTTTCATATTCACCTACCTATCATTTTCATATCTTCAAAACTCTCTGTACCCACTAAGAAGATTTTCTACAATTTTCATATTCACCTACTCACCCATCCACCTACAATGAACAATTTGAGTAAAGCCATATTAAATGGAGATTTTGATGAATCTTCATCATCTGATGATGATATCATCATGATGCAACTATTCACAGCGCAACAACAAAGATTACAGATGTTAAGCCTAAACCAACAAACCAGACGTGTTGGTTCCACAAGTGGTCGTCGATACATTAATCGTGAGAGGGTCAAAGGCGACGAACAAATTTATAGAGATTATTTTGCAGATAATCCTGTCTATCCAGAAGAATACTTCCGAAGACGTTTTCGAATGAGGCGGTCATTATTTGTTAGTATCTTACACGATATTCAACAAATGAATGAGTACTTCATCCAAACCCGTGATGCCACTGGTGCTCTTGGATTATCCGGTGTACAGAAGATGACTGCAGCACTTTGGATCCTCCAATACGACGTGCCTGCTGATGCTATAGACGAGTACATTAGAATCGGCGAAAGTACTGCAATTGCTGCCTTAAATTTTTTTACAAGATCAATTGTTGCTACCTATGAAGCCGTTTACTTAAGATCTTCAAATGAAGCAGATGTCGCCAGATTATTGCAAGAAGGAGAGCAACGCGGGTTTCCTGGAATGTTAGGGAGTTTGGATTGTATGCACTGGCGTTGGGATAAATGTCCAAGTGCCCAAGTCGATGCTTACACTGGACACTATCACAAACCAACAGTTGTACTCGAGGTAGTTGCCTCCTACGAGTTGTAGATTTGGCATGCTTTCTTTGGCATGTCTAGCTCTCTAAATGATATTACTGTTCTTGACAGGTCGCCTTCATTTGCTGAATTAACTAGAGGACGTGCCCCTACTGCCAACTACACCATCAATAATCACGCATACACCATAGGGTATTATCTTGCTGATGATATCTATCCTCGTTGGGCAACGATTGTAAAAACAATATCTCAACCTCAAGGCGCAAAGAGACAACTATTTGCGAGGATGCAGGAGGCATGTCGAAAAGATGCCGAAAGGGCATTTGGAGTGCTCCAAGCACAATTTAATATTGTCAGCGTGCCAGCTAGAGGTTGGAGTGATGAGGATCTGTACTACATCATGAAGACGTGCATTATTTTGCACAACATGATCATTGAAGACGAGCGTAATATTCCAGAAAATGAACGCAGTGCAGTACAACTTGAGACTGATACCAGTAATTTGGGCTGTCAAGCGTCACGCAATCCGAATGAGGAGTATGCTCAATTTATGTTGAATCGACAAAGGATTAGATCTGTTGAAGCCCATAATGTAATTCGTAATGATCTAATTGAGCACTTGTGGTCCCGAGCTGGAGAGTTAGATTAAGTTTGCATTTTATCTTTTTAATGACAGTTAATGTCATTTCATGTCAGTTAATGTCTTTTTATTCTAATAAAATGTTCTTCATTTAATGTCTTTTTATTTTACAATGTCAGTTAATGTCTTTTCATAAAATGTCTTACAAAATAAAATAAAACAACATTGCAAATAAAAATAAAAATAACATTACAAAATAAAATTAAAATAAAAATACATTGCAAATAAAACAAAAATAAAATAAAAAGACAACATGAAATTTCATTACAAAATAAAAATTACATTGCAAATACAGACTAACAATTACATCAAAAAATAAATGATATTGCAAATTTCAAAAATACATTATCCCGTAATTATTCATCAGGAGGCAGAGGGAAATAAAAATTTGGGCTGCTCACATTTGAGGACCACTTGGCGAAAATCTCATTTTTTCGCATTATGTAATATGCTTTCATTTGAGGGTCCAAATGAGAAATGTCCGTAGTCATTATTTGGTGTTCTTCATTTTTCATCTCAAACTCATGCTTTTTCATCTCAAGTTCTTTCATCTCTTGCAGTGCTTGAATCCTTTTTTCTTCTATTTCCTCTTTTTTCTTTTCTTTCTCAGCAAGGTGTTAGTTAAATGTGTCTAATTGTATGCTCATTTTTTGGAATTTAGTTTCAATGACTTGATTTTTTCGGAATAATTCTTTTGCAGATTTCCTACCCATCGGCTTTTTACCCTTTCCAGCGACACTGCCCTCACCAACAATTGGATTGTTACCAACACCTGGACTGTTGTCGTCTTCAAGAGAAATGCAGTTTTCCATAGGGGAATCAGGGGCTAAATTAAGGGTAAACACTGTATGCATCATTGACTTTACCGTATTCGTGAGAGCTACATCTTGCCACCTGATATTGTCTTGCAATATTAGCCAACAATGTTCAAAAGCAAAATGTTTGTTTTCATCTTGATGGTATAACAGTTTTGCTTGAAGCATCTGTTTCAAAAAAATTGAAACATTATTTAATTACGTAAATTTTATACGATACCAGAATAAGAAACTAAACATAATAATTGAAAATAAAAACTTATTATATCAACTTGAGAAATCCCACTTGGGTGAAGATTTTCGACTTGAGCTAAACATCCCCGAAATTTGTTAGAACCTTTCATGATTATACCCCATCGAGATTGAATAGACATTTGTGTTCTGGATTGATCATTCTGAAGCAGGCAAAAATTTTCGTAAATTCTCCCCCAAAAGTGAGCATACAATTGCGAATTACCAACAATTGGGTCTTTCGAAATGTGACACCAAGATTTACAAATTGCCATATATTCTTCAATGGTGAATGATTTTCCTCTCTTTGTTTTTGATGAACCTTCCATAGTGATTGGATGAAAAAACTAAAAAGAAAATAATTTGAGAGGTTTGTTGTGAAATCAGATTCAAAGAAGATAAGAGAAAAGAAAAATTAAATGTAAATATTTGTGTGAAATAAAAGTGGCATGGAATGTTTCAATTTATAGAAATAAAATATATTACCGTTGGGCAAATAGTCGTTTAAAGAGCCGTTGTAAAAAATAATTTCAAATTTTTTTTTTTTTTGTTGAACAAACCAAACAGAGCCAAACGGCTCTTTATTTACACTGAGGCATCACTATTTTGCCATACATCTATCTACAATTTCTCACTCTCCTCACTCTCATCTCCTCCACGGCTCTTCCATTCCCTCTCATTCTCACTCTTTCTCCTCCTCCATGGCCGAAATCAAACAGAGCACAAGATCGGAACCCGATCTCCCATTCTCCTCCAAGATTGGAACCCCCTCCTCCGTGATGTCCTCCGAGATCAGAACCCTTCTCCTCCATGATCGGACCCGATCTCCCCCTTCTCCTCCAAGATCGGAACCCTCTCTCTCTGGTTTGACTCTGTTTCCCTCCGATCTATGTACTCTCCGTCTCTGGTACGATCTTCATCTATATACATATATGTTTTGATCTGTCTGCATATATATATATATATATATGTTTTGATCTGTGTTGATCTCCATCAAAAAAATCTGTGTTCATGCGTTTTGATCTCCATCCAAAATCTGTGCATGTGTTTTGAATTTGATTTTGATCATATATATATATATATATATATACGGTCTGCTATGGCTTCATGGGTTTGATCATATATATATATACGATCTGTCTTCATGGGTTTGATCATATATATATACGATCTGTCTTCATGTGTTTTGTTAATTTGATCATATATATATATATATATACGATCTGTCTTCATGTGTTTTGTCAATTTCGTTCTGAAATTTGCTTGATTGTGAAAATTGGGTTTGATTTTGGTAAATAGCTTCCCTACTGGATTAATTCCGTTGTTTTCTCAACCGAATTTGGTGCCAAATTCCTGTTGATTTTGCTGACCTGGCAAGGTTGGCATCTGCCATTTCATTTGCCAAATTTGAGAACACATATGGCATCTGCCATCTTTGACAAGTGAAATAGCAGACCGTTGGAGATTCATTTTTGTCATTCTTGTCATTTTTTAGCTTTGGCAACTGATATAGCAGCTCCATTGGAGATGCTCTAACACTATTTTATCGTGTGAGCTTATGGATTCAACTTCTATCGAGAGGAGTTTGATATGCTTTTTGTAATTTATTTATTCTCAAATTTGAGTTACAGTTGTTGGGTTTGGTAACCATTGACTTTCTAACTAGTAGTGGACTTTAATTGTCTAGTTTGATATAATACTTCTCATATTTGAAATTAATCTATTACAAATTAATAAAAGAAAAATGCTTGAGAGCACTAAAAAGGGATCACTAAATAGAGCACTAATGATGTGGCAGTGGGCCCTGGCCACTTTCTATGCCTTGTTTTTATTTTTTTATTTTATTTTTTGTCATTCACAATATATTAGTGCTATTAGTGGTGTAGTTTTTAGTGGTCTAAATCATTATTGTTAATAAAAATAAAATAAAATAACTCAACTTTCTTAACATGTCATAGGTGGTGTTTGGCAAGTTGGTTGGGGCTAAAATAGCCACAAAAGACAAAACAGGCTATTTTAGCCATAACAAACAAAACATCACATCCAACCCATAATCATTACACTCTTCTCTCACAAAAAAAGTCAAAAAAGCCAAAAAGCCAAAAAGCCCTTCCCAAACCAAGCTTTTTAGCCCAGGCTAAAATAGCCAAAAAAGCCAAAAAGCCAAAAAGCCAACCCACTTCCCAAACGGAGGCATAGGAGATGTTTAATGCCTTATTTAAGCTGTTTAAAACTTTTTTTATTTTAAAATTTTGTGTCAAACTTTTGGTGTAGTTTCTTTCTACTTATATTTTTAAGTATGAATAACTTAAATAAACTGGTTATTTGAAAACTGAGAAAGATATATTTTAACTTTTACTTTATAATCCAACTCGCATTAGGCATGTAATGCCAATTAGTTAAAATGTTTAGTATAACTTATTTTTTTCAACTCTATTGTACTATTGTACTAGGTGTATGATTAAGCATTTTGTCTTAACTCACATTTAAGCTTAGTTGGGCATCTCTAAAAAAATCCAAAAATTTATAAAAAAGTTAAAAAGTTATCACTATTCACAAATTAAAAATATAAAAAAATTAATTTATTACATATTTTAATACAAACACGTGATTGGTACTAAGAATTGATGGAAAGGCTTTCAAAGGAAAAAAAAATTAGGTGTATATATTTATTAAATTGGAGGGTAATGTTGGGTCAGTGGGGGCTCACCACGAATCCCGTTTTGATAATCCGAACCGTCAATGTGTAGAACTCGTCGAGTATTATATGCCTGTAAAAATTCATGTTAATCGGATATGGATAGCTACATGATTAAATCAGTTTTGTATAAACAATAGATGGTGTTATAGTTAACAGTTAACAAAAAACTAACACGATCAGATAACTATCGATATCCGATCAACGTGATTTTTTACAAGTATATAGTAGTCGACGAGTTCTACATATTGAACGGTTTCGATTAATAAAAAAGGACCCGTGGTGGGCCCACACAGGCCAAATAACACTGTCCAATTCAAGCCCAGAAAGGAGGTAACCAATTTCCATCTCCTAACAACCGACTACACTGCCTAGGTACTGTACGGGCTACTCAATCACTTCTCTTATACACTTATTTATATAATTTTTTAATACACATTTTTTTGTAAAAAGTCAAAAAATTAATCCAAACATCCATCTTTTTTTTTTCAATTTTTTAGTCCAAAAAGACAAAAAATACACTTATTTAGGACACCTCAAACAACCTCTTACTAGTTAAACATAGCTAGTCTTAAAAAATTAGACAAAATTTATTTGACCATTACCATCATTTTTCTCCATCTTCGTTGTTCATGTAACATTTCATAAAGTGAGTAATATTTGGATGAATAAGTTAAAAAATAAAAGTAAGGTTGAAATGAAATCATGACAAAGTGGATAGACAAAATAAAATATACACCTTAATAACTTTTAAATATGTAAAAAACCTAAAATAGCATTGGAGATGCTCCCATTACTAACTTTTAACATATAATAAGTTATACTCAACAAGACCACGATAAATAAAGTATGAATTTTAAATTATGAACTTAAGGGAAGTGTTTAAATTATAGATTTTGGACAAAAATTTAGAAATAATAAGAGAAAAAGTGAGTGAAATTTAATGATATTTTATTTATATTTTGTCTTTTTTTTTCCTTCTAAATTTCTACTCAAATCATTCAAACGTAATTTAAACAGAAGTAATTAAGGCAGAAATTGGATTAAAGTGATATTTAAACCCCGTTTGAAGAGTTGAGTAGTCAAAAAATACTACAAATTGTCTTATTACTTCCTCTATTGTTTTTACATATTTTTTTCAGCATAATTTTTTTTTAAAAATAATTAAAATAACAATTTTCCAAAAAGAAGCAGTTGAAAGGCATAGTTGGGAGGCAATAAACAAGTGTCGTAAAATGTATTTATGGACGAGGGGTTGTCCTAAAAGCATACGCAACTCACCCCTAAACCAAACAATAGGATATGTATGTGGAAGTTGGAGGTGGTTGGTAGAGACCGTTGACCTTGACATTGACATCTATATTACTCCCACCTACTAATTTATTATTTGCGTGGAAAAGGTGCCAAATGAAATTTTGAATTGGTACAACAGAACATGTAACATCCATACACTTGTCACAAACATAAGTTTAAATACGTAAGGTTCCGTTTGGTAATTCAAATTTGTAATTTAAAAGTTAAAAAATAATTTAAAAAATTAATAATTTGTATTAAAATGTTAAGGATTTTTTTCTCTCTATTTTTTTATATATATATTTTTAAAAATATCAAAAAATTATCCAAAATATATTAATCCTCATATTTTAATTAAAAATTCAAAAAATTATTAAAATAACATATTATCAAACAACGCGACTAGATCATTTTAATAATTTTTTACTTTTTTGACTAAAATATGAGATAAAAAAATTAATATGTTTAAAATAATTTTTTGATTATTTACAAAAAGATGTGTAAAAAATAGTGAAGAAAATCTTTGGTAGTATTTGGTAGAGTTTTCTAAATATAATTTGATAATAGAGTTATATTATGAGTTATGAGTTTCGAAAAGAGTTTTGAATTGAGTTTTGAATGTTTGATGTGACATGTGAAATAAAAAAATTTGTTTGATTATTCAAAACTTAGGCCAAGTTTGGCTAACAAAAAAAAGTTGACTTATTTCATCTTTTTATCTTTTTTGGGTCACATCAATCAACATCTTCTCTCTACTTTTTCTACACATAATACAAAAAAAGTCAAAAAGTAC